TAACCATGAGATGAGAATGAATACAACATGCTTTTAGCACCGAGCCTGGCACTCTGTGAGCCCTCGGGCCTGTTGGCTATCACTGTTACTATTATTGTGTCATCAGCTGTGAGGGGTGGGGACTCGTGCAGGCCTGGAGGCAAGGGGCTGGCTCCTGAGCCTGGTTCCCAGCTCCCGCCTGCTGGCCCCTCACTCTCTTCAGCTCCAAGTGATCGACAGGCCGGGCCAATGGCATCCTGGCAGGCCTGTCCTGGCAGCTGCTCCCACAAGGCGAGGCCCTTGAGCTTCAGAGAATTAATTAGGCCACATTCCTCTTCCAGGGCTCCTGGCGGGCCTGCACACGGCCCCCTTCTGAGCTGCTGAGGGCTCTTGGCTCAGGTTCCTGGCAGGCTAGGTGAGGCCCACACTCTGCTCTCCCAGGAGAGGGGCTGGGAGGGCCCTCCTGAGTTGGAAGTGCTGGCTGGCTATGGAGGGCACAGCCACAAGCCAGCAGCCTGAGGCCAGCTCCTGTCCTGGCTCTCCCCTGCAAGCCACCCTCTCTGGCTCCCCATTACTCAAGTTCAAATTCCAGGCATCAGATGCACTTCCTAGCCTCGACCCTGTCCATGAGGCTGGCTGCTTCTCTCCAGTTCCTCCATGCTCTGGCCAGACATAGGTCACACCCTTTCCCTAGCTATAATGCCCTTTCCCACATCCCAGCGTGTCAAACCCTATTCATTCCTAGCCCTCCCTCCCCTCCAACCCCCACCAACTGGAAGGGCAGCCCATAACATATTCCATCTCCCATCCCTTTATTTCCCGATGTCTGTCTCACCTGGCAGCCTGAGGGCAGCAAGAGTGGTTTGATCCAAAGACATGGAGCAGTGGTGGAGGGCACTTGGTAATTCCCGCCCCCTCAGATGTTGTCTGAAGCTGTCCTGGGGTGACAGATGCCTTGGATCTCCCTGCCTGCAGACCCTTCCCCACTCCAATGCTCAGGCTTGATCTGGTGCTCAGGAGGGCACTGCCCATCCCCACCGGCCCCTCTCCCGCCTTCTCCCTGCCCTTCTTTTGCTCCCTGGGAAAGAGAATAGCTCCCTTCCCCACAGAGCCTTCACCCTGCAGTTCCCTCTGTCTGGAACACTCTCCTTCACCCTCTCCTTCTCGTGACTGGAGCCCTCGAGCTTGGCCTGGATGCCACCTCCTCCAGGAAGCCAGCCTGCCCTCCCACCCCCACCCCAGGAGCTTTATCACAGGGTGGATGTGCTTTATCAGGGAGACGGAGCAGCTAACAAGTGAGTCTGAGGTTTAACTCCACCTCAGGCACCTCCTAGCTGTGGGACTCTGAGCAAGTTAACCTCTTGTTAGCCCTTCTTTAAAATGGGAATAATAATGCTAGCACCTGTTGCATAAGGCTGCTGTGAGGAACCGAGGGATTCACATGCAGAGAGCATTTAGTGAGCGCCCCATAACTGTTAGCTATTACTTTAATCTTTTTTTAAAATATATTTTATTGATTTTTTACAGAGAGGAAGGGAGAGGGATAGAGAGTTAGAAACATCGATGAGAGAGAAACATCGATCAGCCGCCTCCTGCACGCCCCCCACTGGGGATGTGCCTGTAACCAAGGTACATGCCCTTGACCGGAATTGAACCTGGGACCCTTGAGTCCGCAGGCCGACGCTCTATCCAGTGAGCCAAACCGGTTAGGGCTACTTTAATCTTAGTAGCTAATTTAACAGTGTTTTCCTGAAGGGCTCTCCTCTCGACCTGCGACCTGCGAGGGCAGGGGCTGTGTCTGTCTTGCTCACAAGACACTCCAGAGAGGTGATCATTCATAATTGTTGAATGGATGGATGGCCACATTCCAATGATTTATTGCCCTGATAGGCAAATGACTTTTATGAGAGAGAGAGAGAGAGAGAGAGAGAGAGAGAGAGAGAGAGAGAGACTAATGAGAGACTAATTCCTTGGGGCTCTCTCCTGAGTGAGGGGTGGGGGCAGAGGCAGCCAGGGAGGGACGGGCTCAGTCTGCTGCTGGGATATGTATCAGGCCTGGGAGCCCTGGATATGGACCCAACTCGCCTCAGCCTCAGCTTCCATCTGTGCACGTGACCCCAATAAATCTAGCTCATTCTGTGTCCCTCTGGCCTATCTTTGCCTGGTGTCTCCACCAAAAGGAACACCAATTTGACTCAAAAGCCTTAATAAAACCTGTTAAACGTGTATGGGAAAGGCAGAAGAAAGCAGGAAAAGGGGAGACTTTGTCCCACAAAATCCAGACAAACTTCCTGAAATGTTGACACTTTTCCTCCCAGGTTTCCATTCCACTTGGCAGCTGCTTCTCACAAATTTCCCTCTGCTGCTTCCAAGCTCCCCCCACCGCCCCCCACACGTCCAGGGCCTAGCAACCTGGGATGTGGTCTAGAAGCAGGCACAGACTTCGGGTGCATGCGGCCCCTCGGCCCTGCAAACTCCTCGCCCTGTGGAGAGAGGTAGGAACAAGGGAGGCCAGAACGGGACCATCTACTGTGCGGGGCCCCTGAGGCCCCATGGCCAGGGCACTGCGGTATCACCTGGCCTTTACCTGCTCCCTGGGCCTCCTCTCCTCCCTTTAATCATCTCTGTTATTTAATCATGTGGGCCACTGATCTATGAACTCTGGCCGGGGCCACTGGCGCCTTTGCCAAGGGCATAAATGCCTGCTTCCCTGGGCCCCCGCCACACCCTCAGCCAGGACCTTGTCATCCCTCTGCCAGGCTTCCATCGCACCTGCCACCTGGGCTTGTCCCACTCAGAGGTCCCCCCTGGCTGTTGTCTGTTATGTTGGGCTCCCGATGGGGGCAGGGTGATCTTGATTGGGCTGCTGAGCTGCCAGGGAGTGAAGTTCCCCTGGCATCAGGCTATCCTGAGATTTGAGAGGTGTTCCCTGGCCTTGGGCTGTGGTAGGAAGTGACTGGGCTGGGCCCCATTACACCAACTCTCACCACCCAGGATGCACCGTGGACCCCTTAGGGCTGCCTCCTGTCTCCGCATTCACTCCTGCCCTGCGCAACCCTTTGGTGGCCTATTGCCAAAGCCCCTCTCTGAACAGCTCTGTGCTCACAGACCTTTGGTGGCTTCCCATGGCCCACAAGAGAACGTCCTTCGGCCTCTCCGGCTTTACTCCTGCTGTCCCCCCTCACCATGCTCCAGCCACATGGGGTCCTCTGCGCGAACCTCCTTTGTCATCCCCTGCCATACCTTCACCCTTCCTGTTCCCTCTGTCTGGAGTTCTTTCTCGATGTCCTTGCTGTTTGCTTGAGTCTTATCTTTAAAAAATATTTTTATTGATTTCAGAGAGGAAGGGAGAGGGAGAGAGAGATAGAAACATCTATGATGGGAGTCAAACCGTGACCTCCTGGTTCATAGGTTGACGCTCAACCACTGAGCCATGCCAGCCGGGCCTTACTCATCTTTTGAGGCTATGGGAGTAGCCTTTGTCCAGGAGTCTTTCTCTGACCACTCCTCTTGCCCCCAGCCAGCCCCAGGCTCTCTCCCCTCAGGTCTTTCAACTCTGTGCCCCTTAGCAGGCCTGCTGTGAGCCCAGCACTGGAATTTAACTGTTTAGTGTTCATACCAACCCCGCAAGGTAGGGACTATTGTTTGCCATTTTATAGACTTAAAAACAAAATAAAACTGAGGCTCAGAAAGAGACTTGTTCAAGGTCATATGCAGTGGTGATCCATGAATTCAATCAATAAATATTTATTAAATACGTACATACATATGTATGATAGACTCAGTTCAAATCCTGATGCTACCACTTACTTGCTGTGTGACCTTAGGCAAGTCAGTTGCCTTCTCTGTGCATCAGTTTCCTCATCTATAAAGTGGGAATCATAAAGTACCGATGTCAGAGGGCTGTTATGAGGATGAAACAAGTTACTCTGGGTGAAGTGCCAGTATGCAGTAGGAGTCCAGTATGTGCCAACACGTTATTCTCCCAGGAGCTGGGGGGGGGGGGGGGGGGGGGGGGGGGAATGGCTTCATGTACAGGCAGGATTAACGGTGTCTAGATAATTCTTTTTCAGTTGTTGGCCCAGGTCACCAGCTGCCACTTCTAGCACAGGCCAGCCCGGAGGAAAGGGACAGCCTGCCCACAAGGGGATTTGGCAGAGATGGAGGCTGTGGGTCTAGGCAGCTGCGAGCAGGGCGGCCCTCGTTGCTGGCTGTCCCTGGGACTCAGGTGGGCTGCTTCTCTGGCCTTGGTGGGATTGGCCAACCCCGTCCTAGAGCTCTGGGCTCCTTCAGTCAAAGTGGTGTTGAGCCATCTCTACTAGGACTCCATTCAAGGCCCAAGGCGAGAGGCGAGGCCAGGGCCAGGCGGCGGCTCTCCCACGGCACCGGTCACTGCCCACAAGGATGCACGCAGCCTTGGAACCCATCATGCACCCTCCCTGGAGAGAGGTGCCCTGGGCCTCCCCGCAGACCCTGGCGGCACAGGTGGCTGGGGCAGAAGTGAGCCTTGGCTCCTTCCAAGCCTGCTCTTGGGAAAAGCTGGCTAGTGGTTACGGTCTGAGGGGAACGAAGGTCCTGGAATCCTGGATGTCAAAGCTACAAATGGCTCTCCAGGCATGTGATAGGCAAAAGCCCAGAGAGGGTGGGTTAGCAGCCAGAGATGCCCTGCAAGGGCATGAGGAGTGAAACCCAGGGCTCTGGTCACCTCCTCCCGCTTCCGGTGTCCCCCTAACTTCCAAGCAGCCCCTTCCCAAGAGGGGCATCCCACCCCTGCCTCAGCCAAGATGAAATGCCAGAGTACAGCCTCGCCCAGTGTCTCAGTGGCTGAGCATCGACCTATGAACCAGGAGGTCACCGTTTGATTCCTAGTCAAGGCACACGCCTGTGTTTTGGGCTCGATCCCCAGCAGGGGACGTGCAGGAAGCAGCCAATCATTGATTCTCTCTCATCATTGATGTTTCTATTTCTCTCTCCCTCTCCCTTTCTCTCTGAAATAAATAAAAAATGCTTTAAAAAAGAAATACCAGTACATTTCACTTTTTATTACAAACACAAGTTTATAGGCAAATAATTGAAAGTCTAAAAAAATACATTACAATAAATAATTGGAATTCTCCAAGTTCTTAGAGCAAATAAGTTATATACAGACAGGTGAAGCAGAACAGGCCCTTCTCACCAGGAGTGTCCCGAGGGTCTGAAGGTACAGGACCCCGGGAGGGAGAGCTGGAGGGGACAGATGAAGGCGGGGGTGGAGGGGAGGACACCAGCCATTGGGCTGGCTTAGGTGTGAGCGTCCATCACTGTGCGTCGCTCCTGGTGTGTAGCCAGCAGACAGGACACCTCTCAGGACATGGCCTCCAGGCCAGTTCTTTTCAGCAGGGATGTGGGACCAGAGCCAGAGGGGTAGGCTGCGCTGCAGCCTGGGAGCTGAAGGCTTTGCTGGGCAGTGTGAGGGCTCGGAGCTGCCTTGAGGGGGCTCCCTCACTAGGGCGAGGAGGCCACAGCTTGTGCCAATCCAGCAGGTGGGCTTCCTGGTCCAGGAAGCAGGTGGAGTCTCCTGCCCTGGGCTGCCCTTCTTCTCCCCTCTCCACACAGGCTTCCTTCCCAGAGTCTCTCCAGCTCCCAGCACTATCTCTTCTGCCGCCTGGAGTGTGCAGGCCTGGTCTCCCTCCTTGCCTCCTGCTGTCGCCGAGCAAAGCGGATCTTGTCAGAAGAAATGTCCCTGGAATGAGAAGGGTCAATTTAACATCGCAGGAGATATGGACCGCCCAAGAGTTCCCTGTGAGAGGCAGCAGCAGGAGGGACTGCACCCCTTCATCGTGGCTGCCCTGGGTCAGAAGGTGGCCACTGACCCTGAACTCAAGGCCTACAAGCTTCTTTGCCCTCAGGGGCTGGGACAAAGCTGATGTTCAATATCAAACGCTGCTGGAATGACCGGACAGCCAAGAAGAGCCCAGCGTTTCTTTCCCAAGACCTGCCTTCCTACTTCCACACCTTCCCTCCCGGCTGCTCACCCAAATTCCACCCACTACAGTTCCCATTTCCAAGTTCCAGACAAAGATGGGTCCTAGCCGCCCCTTGAACCTGACTGAGACCCTCGCATGGACTTGTGTCATTCAGGGGGCCTCGTCCTGGCTCAAAGCATTCGAGCCTAGAAGCTAGGAGGCTGGCTTCTGTTCCAGCTGTGGGAATGTGGGCAAGTGTCTCAGCCTCTCTGAGCCCCTTTCTGGGTCCATAAGATAGAAACAGCCCTGAACGGTTGTAAGGAGGATACTGGTTGGCTAAGCAAGCTCTCTGCCCACTTTGAAGGGCCATGCCCTTGGCAAGTCTTATCTTGGTTTTTTCATCCTACGACAGTTCCTAAGTATATGCTGGGTCTTGTCCATCTCACCACCTGGCCTTTTCTCCTATGTTTCTGCCTCCCCACAAGGACCAGAACCCGGAGCCATGCTGGGCCCAGCACTGGCTAGCCCCGAGGAGCCACCTTTACAGGTAGAATGGCTAACACCACCAGGGCTCCCACTGGGGGCAGATGCTTCCTTATGTCAAATCATCTGACCTCAACCCCATGAGATGGGTAGCATTGTTGTCTCTGTTTCAAAATAGGAACTTATAGCACAGAGAAGTGACAAACCCAAGGTCACAAAGCTTGTTTGTGGCAGGGCTTGGGTTGAAATCCGGCAGTCCTGGCTCAGAAGCTGCCCCATAGCCACTCTGGCTGCATGGCCGATAGGGGGCTTTGTTCTCAAGTCAGTTTGGTTGGACAAACATCCATGGGCACCTCCTGTGAGCAAACTCTGGAGCTGAGCCAGGCTGAGGCCACCACAGATGGGATCCAGTCTGGGATTGGGGGAAGGAGCAGGCTGGGTAGTTGGCCCCTCTGGACCCCAGGATATGGAGATGCTCAATTAAGACACAGCCTGAATGAACACCTGTGGTCCTTCCAGAGTCAAGAACCTTCAGGCTCTAAAAAGTCAACTTCCAGGCATAGCAGTGAAAAGCACGGGCTCTGGAGTCAGACTGCTGTGTGACCTTAGGAAAGTACCTTCACCTCTCTGAGCCCTAGGTCGCTTAACTGTCCAATGAGGACGCAGTCCTGCCTTTTATAGAGAATAAGAGAAATGCGAGGACATGTGCCAGGCATACAGGAGGCACTGGATCAGCGCAGTGGCCCTTACCTCAGCCGCTGGAGGAGCTCTCCTGCCGTGGTCCATGTCTTGCCAGCCTGGGACACGTCTGCAGGGGACCCGACACCTGGGTTTGCCACGGTTTCAGGCCTGAATGAACAGCATTAGAACCCAAGTGAGGGGCTGTCCAGGGCCCCAAGGCCACCTGGCCGCAGGCCCAGCCCAGCCCCACCCTATCCCCACCTGCCCTCAGGAACAGATCCATGTCCACCCTGTGCACCTGGCACCCTCCCTTTCCAGGCGGGGTGGGGAAAGCTGAGCTGCGGGGACTGTGTTCCTAGCTTCAGAAAGAGGCCGCTGGGTGGCTGGCCTTCGAAGCTGGCCACCTGCAGCTGAGTGTGGCCCTTTTCAGGAGAAACGAAGGCAGGGTCAGAGCGACAGCTTGAGTCTCAGAGGAGGGGTTTTCTCATAAACCATCATGGGCATGGAGGCTGGGATTGCCAGGCCAATTTCTGCTTTCCCCAAATGCTCTATGTGGAGGAGGGAAAGAACGAAGTTTCCCACCCTTTTACAGATGGGAAAACTGAGGCCCAAAGACTTAAGGGATTTGCAAAGCCCCCCAGCAACTCTGTGATGACCCTGAAATGGTGCCATGGCCTCCCAATTCCAGATGTTACTCCTTCACTGAGAAAGCTCCAAAGTCCCCTGAGCCTCAGGCCTGACTCCAGAGCCCCGTGGACTCGTCACATAGACTGAGGCCGAAGCCCAGCGCTCCCTCTGACCAGCTGTGTGGACTGACAGCACAGGCCTTTGAGGCCTGGGGTGCCTCAGCTGTCACCTGGGAGAATCCCCCTGCCCAGGAGTGAACATGGCGCTCTCGAAGCCCCCAGAGATGGGCAGTGGGAGGGACTCAGGGGTGACTGGTTCCCTGTGGGAAGGGACACTGCCATGGGCCCAGGGCAGCCTATGGGTCCCTAGGACCCTGCTCCCCCTCCCCCATTTGCTCCTCTGCTCTTTGGCTGGTCTCCCAGACACCTTGCTGTCCAGGGCAGGTGTGGGCTGGCAGTTGCCCCTGACCCCTGCAGCTGGGGGCCCACTTACCAGGGCCTTCGATGGCAGAAGGTGGCACAGGCAGGGTCCCTGGCACTGGAGCATTCACAGCGCCCTGGCAGAGAGCGGCGCCGGCGTTTTGGCGGGTTTCCCAGGCCATAAGGAACTGTCTGTCTGTGGGCAGGCAGCCAGTAAGGTAGTGATGTAGAGGGGAAAAGGGAGAGAGGGAGGGAGAGGAAGAGAGGGAGGATTAGATAAATCACTACCATTGACAAGCAGGGACCGTCTTTTCCCTGTACTCTGGGATGGCCAGTGTGGCAGCAAAAGGTGCCCAGCCCCTGACCTCAAGAAGTCCCACCACAGGCTCCTACCCAGGTGCCAGGTAGCCCTGACAAGACCCAAGACCCAACACCCTTCCCTTCTCTGGGACTCTGCCTCCCCCCCAGGTGTCCTCCCAGGCCCCCCGCCCAGACAGGAACATGAGCTGATAGAACCAGGCTGTCCCTTATTCTCAAAGAGGCCCACAGCTTGCCCCCAGAGGAGGGGAGGAAATACCATCTCATAAGTAAACATGCAGGCTCATAGCTAAGCTGCCCCCAGCTGGTCCCCACTTGCCTAGAGAAGTGACGTGTATGTCTTAGAGTTTTGACTTAAAAATGGTGAAAGGGTGTGTGCATGTGTGTCTATGTGCGTGCACATGTGTGTGCGATCAGATGGGGTTGATTTCAGATCAGAGTCTAGCCAAGGCGGGTGGAGGGCAGGGCAGGGGCCTGTGGCCGGTTGGACCAGCACCTTCGGGTGCCAGAGCTAATTTTAGCTGGTGTCTGAATTTGTAATGACTCCAGGTAGACCCGGCAGGCAGGGACTGGCAGGGTTCCCACCCCGAGCGCGTGTTTGGATGTGGATTAGCTCCACACGCTTACGTGCCGGGCTTCTCTTGTCTTTTGCAATTTGGGGAAGGGAAAAAACACAAATGCACACAGAAACTTCAACTTGAAGTATGCAGTGGCCCGGAGGCAGTGCGGGTGCAGACAGAGCAGACAGCACGGGCCCCCACCCTGGCTCCACCAGGTGACAAAGGGCAGGTTTTTCATCTGTCATTTGGGGACAACAGCAGTACCTGCCGCAGGGAAGGATTGCGGGGTGGGGGTGGGGGGTTCATGAGATGATCATGCGCGAGCCCTGCTTGGCATAGGGCCCGGCACAGTCCAGACATGGGCGCTGGCATTAATTGTATTATTCTTGGAGGATCGTGCTGAGGCAGCATGGCCGAGTGGGTGTGAGCTCTGGCATCCACCGGACCGAGGATGGAGCTGCCACCTACCACTGTCTCCTTCTTGTGTGATCGTGCAGAAGGCACCTCACCTCTCTGAGCCTTAGTACCCTGATCTGGAAAATGAAGCCAATACTTTCTTGTTGGATGTCATGAGAATTCTCCTGAGACACCCCTCTGTATTGCTCAGGCAGCCTCCCCGTGGGAGTGAAACAGTAACTGCTAGTGATCGATATGAGCCCAGTGCTCCCATCTGGAGGCCCAGGGAGAGCCGTATTGTGCCCAAGGTTTCCCAGTGTGCCCATAGTCCCCTCCCCCCAGGCCTAGCAGCCCGCCTGGATCCCCATGGTAGCTCACCCGGGAGTGTTCACCCAGATGATGTCCAGGTGGCAGAAGTAGACGCACTCCTTGTCGAGCCAGGAGCTGCAGGAGCAACGCCGAGGCCGCAGGTGGGAGCCTCGGGCATGGCGCGGGGGCACTGGCTGCTCTTGGGTGGCAGCGGCCTGGCCCTTGCCTGCACGCACAGGAGGGAGAGAGAGGTGGAGAGGTGGGTCAGGACGCCTGGCACAGCTGGAATAGGGGGACCTGCCAGGCTCCTCCTCTTGCATAATCGAGGAAGTTGGCACTCTCACTGCTCAAGATCTCCGGACCAGCCGGGGAAGCCTCAGCAGCCGGGTGGGAAGGGCCAGTGGCCGCCCTGTGCCCGCCCTGTGCCGCAGCACCTCTGTACTGGCAGAGCCCCGGGCCGTGCCACTGCGCTGGGCTCCCGCCCTGTGTGCCCCAGCTGGCTTGTGGGGCACCACAGTCCCCAGGGGAGACACTGCTGAACAGACCCGGGGCTGCTGCAGCAGGCGAGGCCGGATGGCTCACCTTCATGCAGGGCCACGAGCAGGGCCAGAGCGACCGAGCACCAGGCAGTGGGCATGGCAACCATCGCAGCGGAGTGCAGGGCTGGACTGGAGCAGGGAGCAGGGAGCAGGGAGCAGGGAGCAGGGAGCAGGGAGCAGGGAGCAGGGAGCGCGCCTGTTGCCTGCGTCCTGCTGCCAAGCTGAGCCAAGCCGATAGCTCATTGCCTCCGTGCCCTGGCTGCTTATAACCACCAGGCACTTCCCCGCCCCTGCCGTCCAGCCCTGCCACTGCACCAGCGGGTGGAGGGCCCAGAGCCAGGGACAACGCCTCCTCCTGGGGCGTCAGGCCCTGCCCAACCTTCACGGTGGGGGGAACAGGGGAGGGCGGAGGCGGGAGGGAAGGCCCAGCTCCTCCCTCTGAGCTCAGAGCAACTCCGGGAGTATGAGGCTCCCCTGCAACCCCCAGGGACTCCTCCCAGTCCCTAGGACTTCCTCAAATCAACCCCCAAAGTGCCCCAGAGCCCCTCCCCCACTCTCTCGTGGCTGCTCCCCAGGTCTTGCCCAGAGCTAAGAGTTTGAAAGGGGAGCATGAGGAAAACCTGCCCTCTCCTCGGAGAGACCCTGCTGTCCTGCCTGCCTGCTGCCAGCCAAGCTGGGGGTGCCGCTTCTGTGGTGCAGGAGGTGAGAGGCCTGCTTATGGCTGTGTGGCCTTGGGCAAGTCAGAGCCCTCTCTGGGCCTGCTTCCCTCAGTAAAAGACACAGCCTACCCCTGACCTCTGACCTCTGACCAGCCTAGAGCTGCCTCACCACTCCCTCACCCAGGAAGTGCCCCTCTCCCCTCCTTCCACCTCAGGGCCCGGGACAGGAATCTTGGTCCCTCTCAGAACCTTGTCAGCTGTGCAGCCTTGGCTAAGGATACCCATCCTGCACCTCAGTTTCCTTGTTTGCAAAACAAAGCTAAAATGGGGGATCTCAATGTGTTGGTTCACGGGCTCCATGGAGACTAAGAGGGGGCTTCAGAGTCCTTTCCAGAAAGATGCCCTGGGGGCCCACACAAAGTGCCCCCCAAAAGGTCTCCTCTCTCAGTGGCTACTTTCTGCAAAAAAGGCCAGGTGGTGGGGGTGCTCCCTGAGGGCTAGCATTCTGCTGCTGCCCCTCTGCTGGCTCCCAAGCTGGACGGTGCTGGAGACCAGAGCGGGCGCGCTCCTGTGGAGCCACACAGTTTGTGGACCTGGCAGTTGCCCTCTATTCCTGCCCAGTCCACCTCTTCCAGCATCTTCCCAGGGACCCAGTCTCCAGGCACAGCAGGAAAGGCTCTCTGTTTCTGGGAAATCCCGGAGCCCAGGCTCTGGAGCCTGACTCATGAGATTGTGCTTATCTCCCCAGCAATCTTTAGGTCCAAAACTCCAGAGAAGGCAGGGCCTGGAGCCTGCCTGGCACACAGTAGGAGCCCTCCGAGTGAGTGCACTCTGAAGGAGGGGGAATGAGTGAGTAAATGCCTGGCTTTGAGCTGGGGAAATTGGGTCTGCAGGGACCCAGGCTGCCCAATGTTCAGTTCCTGTGTTCAGCAGCAATTTTGTCATTAGACATTTATGAAGGGGGACATAGATGACCACAAAGAAACAGGCAATCTTGCTTTTTCATGGAGTGTGTTCAGAGCATGCATGTGCGCGCGCGCGCGCGCGCGTGCGCGTGTGTGTGTGTGTGTGTGTGAGTGTGTGAGTGTGTGAGTGTGTGTGTGTGTGTGTGTGTGAGTGTGTGTGTGTGTGTGTGTGTGTGTGAGTGTGTGTGTGTGTGTGAGTGTGTGTGTGTGTGAGTGTGTGTGTGTGTGAGTGTGTGTGTGTGTGTGTGTGAGTGTGTGTGTGTGTGTGAGTGTGTGTGTGTGTGTGTGAGTGTGTGTGTGTGTGTGTGTGAGTGTGTGTGTGTGTGTGAGTGTGTGTGTGTGTGAGTGTGTGTGTGTGTGAGTGTGTGTGTGTGAGTGTGTGTGTGTGTGTGTGTGTGTGTGCGCGTGCGTGAGCGATCCTAGTAGAGCAGAGGGAGATTCTGGTAGGAAGTAGGGAGAGACCTTTCATCCTTATCTTTATTGCCCTGGTTGGGCCAGGCTTCTCCCAGACTGGGCCAGGCTGCAGGGAAAGCAGGAACAAATATTCCTGGGTACCTACTGTGTGCTCAGAACACTCTCCTTTCCTCCCATCACAACCCAGGAGGCAGCTGCTCTCATCTGGCTACCAGCTCCAGTACTGCCCAGGAGGCAGCGGAGCCTGGCGGAGACACACAGTGGGTACGTGCAGAGCTGGCTTTGGGACTCAGATCTCTGTCTCTCGGGCAAACTAGTGACTCCCCAGGTGGTGCTCACTGCCTTCCCCCGTGAGGTGCCTCTCGAAGAATTCAGAAGAGTATTTCTGGAATGAGGTGAGCAGTACTCGCAGTCATTTCTATTAGCCTCCGAGAGAATATAAATAGAGAATCAAGCAGGATTGGGGTGGGGGTAGGAGGTGGATAGAGATTTTAAACCACTGAACCGTGAAGAGAAGAAAGAAGCAAATGCAGATCATGGGGAGGAGGAGGAGTCAGGGTGGGAAGAAAACAGGCAGGAGGCAGATAAAAAGACAGGTAGGGAGAGAGGGAGGACAAGGAAGCAGAGCGTAGCCAGAAAGAAAGAACTCGGATTTGAGAAAGGAAAAGAGAAAGAGCATTGGGAGTGAGAGCGAAGGTTCTAACGTGTCTAATCTTTACACAAATGCAAAGTGCCTGCTGGGGACAATAGGGAACCAGAGGCTCCGAGTCTGGGAAACATAATAGAAGAATTAAACAGAGCAGGAGACAGGATCCCTCTCTGGTGTGAAAGGAGGATGACGACAGGGCAGGGGTGGCTGCCCAGCCTGGCAGGGTTAGCACAGGGAGCTGTGCCAGACTCATTTCCCATTTTCCCTGCCCTCAGCTCCAGCTGAGCTGGGCATGCAGGGCTCCTGGGAAATGGAGAGGCACAGCCCAAGGAGCCTGAGCGACCCCAGGTCTCAGGGGTTAGCGCTACCCCACTGGCAAGAGAAATTAAGCTGAGTTAAAAAATACCCCCCTAGGCTCTTAGTCTGGGCCCTGAACCTTCACCTCTATGCCTCATGGCTCCCTGGCTGCATGGCCTTCCCACTCCATTGCACCGCCCCCCACCAACTGCCCCAGCCCGCTGCCCTGCTGCACTCCCCAACCCGACCTGGCCCTGTTACCTGCCTGGGCTAGTAAAGGCAGCAGGTCAAGGGGCAGGAATTCCCCGGAGGTCACCATCAGGATTTGGAGGGAATAGTTTTGCACACAAAATAATTTGTTCTACTTCTGCTTGGTGCCGGCTTAATCCAAGAGGGAGAGATTCTCCCTGGCCAGGTGGATCAGTTGGTTAGAATGCCATCCCATACACCAAAAGGTTGTAGGTTCAATCCCCCATCAGGGCAAGGAGAGGCAACCAATTGACGTTTCTCTCTCACATTGATGTTTCTCTCTTCCTTCCTCTCTTTCTAAAATCAGTAAACACATCCTCAGGTGAGGATAAAACAAAGGGAGAGCTTTGTGGGGAGGGCGGGCTGCATATTTCTGGGTGAGACGCTGTCCTAGACGCTGCCTGATGGAAATCCTCTGTGTCCTCACGCCCATTTTCTGGATGAGATAACTGTGGTCTAAGAGAAGGGGCAATGTTGTCATGGCAGTGATGGGGCCACACTGGTTCTCCTGCTACTAACCCAGCCCCACCCTTTCCTGCACAGCAGTGAGGCTCCCCCAGGGTCCAAGTGGAGTGGGGACTTTGGGAAGGGCTGCCAAAAAGGACCAGGGACCGGGCAGAGGATGGGCGGTGTGCCTGTGCACCCCAAAGATCTCTCCACCACACATGCACTGAGAGTAAGTGTGGGTCCATCAGCAGCTGTCCAGCAGCCATGGACACCATGTGGGGTGGGGGATACACAGGAGTAAGGATTACATGTCCTGGTGATGGTGCCCCACAGGGCAGGCAAGGGCTGGAGCAGGAGGCTGGCCCAGCAGGAGCGACAAGCTTTTGCCCCAGCTGTGCTGTTATGCTATGTGGCCTTGGGCAAGTCCAGTTCTTTCCCCGGAAATCTTTCCTGTCTTCCCATTGACTGTGAGGGGCACTCCAGCATGGACTGCCTATGACTTTCCCAGCCAATCTGACCCGAGTTTAGAAGTCCCCAAATCTGAGCCCTGCCGACTGTGCTGTGACTGTGACTCCCAGCTTGGGACCCTCTGCTCTCTCCCCTCTGGAAATCTCCCCTTGCCACCTGGCCCCTCCAGGTTTCAGAAAGTTCTGTTTGCAGCCCCGATGGAAGGGACACAGTGTCTTGGTCACAGGCACATGCCATGCAGGCGGCTTAGCAGAACGAGCAGCTGGGAAGATGTCTGGAGCCCCGGGGAACGGGGGCCTGAGGAGGGTATGGCCCTGAAGCCCGCTTGGGTTGGGGACCTAAGGAATGAGGGAGTTCAGACATTCCCATCAACACTTGTCCCCAAATTATGTCCCCAAGGCTGTGGGTCAAGGCTGCCCCCACTAGGGCCTGAGGACACTCAGCCCCGGGGCCTCTTTCTGGTGGGTGGTCTGGGCCTCCTGCCAACAGCCACAGCTCACCCTGAGCCTGCAGGGCCTGGCACCACCCACACCATTGTCCCACACTGGGTCTCCACAAGGGCAGCCTCAGCCCTGAGGGACCAGCTCCCCTGGTCTCTACTTCCCTCAGAGGACAGCCCCTTATTAGTTGTCTTCCTCCCTCTGCCTCAGCCCATTTTGAAAGATTTATATCTTCTGCATGGACTGTACTTTTAAAGGAATAATTCATGTGCCCTGTTTGTTATGAATCTAAGGGTGATCAGAACAGGGTCAGCAAGGCCCAGGGAACTGCTGGAATTTCAGCCAAAAGCAGATATTGTTCATGAAGGCACCGTGGAAGTCAGGCTGGACTTTTTGAGATGAGAAAACCAACTCAGCAACTCAGCCTCCAGGATG